ACAGTTACTTTTTTAAAATTAATTTTTTTTCAATAAATTGAGACAAAAAATGCGCCTTAGTCAAGCACATGTGTCCACATCAACACAATTCTTTCTCCACCGTTCATGTCGATGGCATGCCATACAGCAGTGACTTTACGATGAGTTTATTATTTACACATGACCACGAGAGAGGAGACATTTATATATTGGAAAAAAATATTATTATACTATGTAGTGAGTGAAATGTATAGAAATATACACTGTTTTTTTTTCCTCTCGTATGAGAATTGAATGCTGACGAATTCGTCAGCTTGTTCCGAGGAAATATTGTTTATAAAAGAGTCAAACTTAGTCGTGTAATGTTGGACTCTATATTCAGTAAAAGGAGATGAAGAAAAGAAGAAACTTTATTGTTGGATGTATATTATATTTGCTTATGAATATATCACACAATCCAATTGTTTTGTTCCTCAAAAAAAAACTCATTCGCTTCTTTAAGTTTGTGGAATTTTTAAAAGTATTTCATCAATACTGTATGGATGTTTATTATGACTTTAATGCTCATGTTGACATTTTTCTCATGAAATCCATAACATCTACATTTTATTAACTGAAGGACATGTAAAGGAGTTATTTTGTAGAAGCTATAGAGTTTTTATGACTTTCACATTGGAGATAAAGTTGTTTTGGCTATAAAACTGAGATGTTTTTATTAAGAAACAATGTTGCTAAAATTTTAACGGTTTTTATTTAAATTTATAGTATTCATCCCTTTTTTATTTTCCAATTCAAATAGTTTTATTGCATTTAAATTATTCATAGCTTGCTATTTGGTTGTGCAAATATTGGAATAGCAACAAAAAAGTGGCAACAATTGAATGCAAGTGCTTTTGCCTTATAATAGCTCCAGCAAATCAACAAAATTCATCAAATTAAATTTTTAAGATTTGACGTAGCTTCGTGCCCTTCAAATCTCCCACTTCAAAAAGTAATTTGCAATTTATTCCAGAAAGGAACCAAAGATCTTCCAATAATTTGACTCAAAGTGCTTCAAAAAGATGGCAAAAACAAAGTGCAAAAATCAAGACCTCCTCAAACTAAAGGCAAACAGACAAAGAGAACCAATCAAATGTAATTTACTCAACCAAACAATTTGCCAAAGCATTCATATTTTCGCAAATATGAGATCAATAATAAAATTGAGCTTTCAATTCAAATTATCAAACAGTTCATACAATATCAAGAAGTAATGGTATACAATGTTAAACAATTTCTTTTCTTCCATTTTTCAATCCATGAAGATCATGGTAAGATATAACAACCATTCATCATGTAATTGGATTACAAAGCTTACAATTTGTGAGGTTGAATTAACGTATTTTCGTCGAATTAAGCTATTCGACTTGAGTTAATGTATTTCTGATGATTTACCGTATTTTATGCTAACATCTTTATGTATTTGTATAAGAAATTGAGCATTAAAAATTATTTAAGTAAATCTCATGTTTGAATTTATAATCATTTTATAAAGATCTATGGATGTAAAGTTGCAGTGTCATTAGTTTATTTAACAAGCATGCTTTAATGAGATCAATCGATCTAATAATAACATAAATCAATTTACAATATGATTTAAATTCTCTTTTTTTGTTGAATATATTATGTTGTTTATTTGGATGATGGTTTAAATAAATAAAGGGTGGAACCGAGTTCTAATGTGATCCATATTATTTAAAAAAATCTTATTTTGAATAATTAACGGAAATTTAAATTTTGAAACATTATTGAAATTATTTGCTGAAGTTAAATTTTTAATGTTTGAAAATTAATGAAATTTAAAACTTGAATTTTGAAATTTAAATAAACTTTTAATTCAAGAAATTTTAAGGTGGTAATTTTAAAAATTTATTAGAATTTTAAAGAGAATTAAATTCAAATTTAAAAATTCCGTTGCATTTTAAAAATTGAAAAAAAAATTAAGTTTGAATGTTAAAATTTGATTGAATTCTTAAAATAGAATTTAAAAAATGTAACAAAATTTTTAAAATAAAATTCAAAAAGTATGACAAAATTTTTAAATTTGAATTTTTTTTTGAAAAAATTAATTTTGAATTTAAAAAAATTAACGGCATTTTTAATTTCAAACTTTTGATAAAAATTGAAATAAATGAAATTCTACTAAGCTTTGATCAGCAACAAGTTGAACAAAAAATCCAAAAAAATTCACACGAATTCCGCAAATGATTCCAGACAGTAAGAAACGCCTTTCATTTAAATTACCAAGATTGATTACCAATAAATCATTAAATATTAAACGAGGTAAGTGAAATTAAGCACAACAAAAAATCTCTATGAAAATTGATAGAATAAACAATAATTTTTATGTAGAAACCTTTTTGCAGCACAATTAGGGCATTCAACTGCAAATAATTTGCATATAAATTGTTATTGTACGCTATCTCGCGATTTAATAACTTATTAATGAAGTAAATTGTAAAGAAATGAAAACGTGAAGATGGAAATAAACAGAAATAGATAGAATATTAATATCATTATTACAAGGAATTACAAGCAGTGCTCATAATAATTCCTTACATCGCGACAGAGATTTATTATTTATTTAAAACATTATATTCAAAAAGATGGGTCTAAAAGCATCATTTACATACGCACAATGCTCATCTCATCAATGAGACACGAGATGGAGAATGGAAGGAGGAATAAGACTGTTAATTATTTTAAATCTATATGTTTACTCAAAGTTTTACCTAAAAATAAACACAATTTTTTTTGTATTAATTCTCGACTCTTTTATGAAGTCAAGTTAAGCAAGCTACGGAACATTACGCTTTAATGGCGTGGAAAGTTAAACAATTAAAGCTTATTTATACTGCTCGTGATCGGCACGTATTGTCTTAGACGTTTCTGCATAACACAAAAAAAAAATCTTATTGAATTTTAAAATTATTTTCATTTGTCATACGGAGCTCATCTTTGCTTTGTAATGCCTCTTTTTTTCGGAAGACGGTAATAAATACTTGACACAAAGATTGACGAGAGAAGACTCATAAGAACAAAGAAATTATTCGTAAATTAAGTATACCCCAGTGTCCTGATCCTTTTTGTTTTCGTCGCAAATGATGAGGAACTTTGCAGGTTGCACAACATAATCGCAGTAGATTTCACTTTAACAAGCTTGTTCTTATTCTTTTATACTTTTTTTTTTCGAAAAAAATAAAATAAAACTTTTTCTTTCCATCACGGCAGGAAAGAAAAGAAAAATAAAATAAAAAAAATTAAATCTTTAGAAAGATTGCCAGCTCACAGCATTCCTCAATTTTTTATGTATTTTTTTTTTCCTTCTTTTTAACTTCTATACAGTAATATATCACATGTTTTAAAAGGCTCCCAAAAAAAATAGATTTTTTCAAAGAACAAATTTATTTTCTTGACCTGCTTGCAGTTTCAAAACTGACAATACCAATTTTCAATTGTCATCATCTATTTCTGAACGAATACAAACACAGACACATGTAATGCACATGACTATGTATGCATTTGAAAGATATCCTTAAAGTTGTACAACGTTATAGATAGTATTTTAGGATTATTGGGATGTAAGTAGACGAGAAAGGAGGTAGAATGAGAAAATGAAAAGAAAAAAATCCTCGACGATCTTTTGAGAAGCAGGCGCAAAAGAAATAATTCACTTGTCATTCATCAGGATTTCTATTTTTCCTTAAATCTTTTTTAGCACATTTTTTGACAGCACGTGGTTTTGTATGAACACTTTGACATGCAATGTTGTGAAATAGAAGCTGTTTTGTATTACTTTGAGTATTGAGTGATGTTTTTGCCACTTTTTTCTATTAAATAAGCATTAAAACTTAAGAATAGAATAGTTCTAAATTAGTTTAAATCTCTAAAATCTTTTTGAGGTGGAGGAATTTTTCACTTTTAGAATTCGTGCAAAATTTGAAAAAGTTTTCGCCGTTAAAATTCAAAATTAAATTGTAGTTGAAATCTCATTCCAAAGACTTTATAAACCTTGTTTCATGACTTTTTGTAGAATTTTTCAGTTCTATAAGGACAAAAATGCGCCTCAACCACAACTTAGACTCATTCTAATCTTTTCAAAGTTTTTTAATGTCTAGATATTGAAAGGATCCTTCAACATAAAACTTCATTTCAGAGGATCAGTATTGTTAGCATTTTTTTTCTCTGTTCCCAATCTTCCCTCAATCTTCTCCTCCCTTTTATTTCGCCAGGTACGTAATTGACCGAAGGGTGTACATCTCAATCAACACATAACTATAAGTCCATTCATCCTCAATATGTGCCTGGCGTAACACATTTCTTTTCCTTTAATAACACAATACACAAAAAAAATATAGAAGAATAAAGGAAAATGTATCGAAACATAATGAACCTGACATCAATTGCCCCTTCTCGATCATGTTATAATGTTTGTTATTTATGTGTCTTATGCTTAGAAAATTAGACATAAATCTGTTGCGCTCACTAAGAACGGAAAACCTTTTTGATTTTCTATCTTTTTTTTTAGTTCACTATTATGTTATTTTCTAGTTCCGTAGATTAAGAAATTTTTTTGTGTTCTATTGCTTAGTCCATGTTACTCAATCAAGCTTTATATTTAAAAATGACGTGATCCTTGATCGCCTTTTAAGTATTAGTTATGGTCGAAAATTTATATGTTCATTTACGAATGGATAGAAAATGTATTTAATGATATCGTTTTCAGATATAATTCTCAGTTCTCATTTCTGTATACTTAAAATTTGTAATATCTTCTTATAATCGCCAGACAGAGTTGTCGGATGAGATTAGAGTGGCTAATTGTTGACGACTCAAGTGTTTTGTATTTGAATCTTTAGAATATAGTCTTGATGTCATGTTTGAAACTCAATAATGATCACCAGCTCTAATACATGATCAACTCTGTCTAAAAAAGCCAATAATCGCAAAAAATAATATTAAATAAGAAGAAGAACACTCACCCATGCGGATAATGAAACGATGATGCTGGATTAAAATTACTCTCATGTGTAGGTCGCTGTTGTCCACTTGCAGCAGCAGCAGCCGCCATTTGGCTATTGTGAAATGCAACGAATGCCGACGGAAAATGTAATGAATTATTATTTGCTGCAGATGCGGTAAAATGTGAAGTGTTTGGCTGTTGAGCTGCTAATTGATTGATATCACCACCACTTCGAAATAATCCATTGGATGCACCATTGAGCATTTGATTATGCAAATGATGATGATAAGGGTAAACTTCTCCGAATGGCCCCTTCATTTTTGCAATAATATCCAATTAAACTTTTTTATGTAAAAAGAGTTTTTTAAAAAATTATTTTTTTGTTTTGATTTTTAAAAAATTTGTTAATTATTTAAAAGTATTAATGCATGAATCAGTCTTAATAATTGGAGAAATCATCATGTCTCATTTCTGTTTTTATGAATAATAATAATATCTTTTTTACAAAATATATAGATCTATATGCTTATTTATATCTCACACGCGTTGTTAAAATGTATTTTCATATTTTTCATAAAAATTTTCACACAAAATATTTTTTATTTATTTTTTTTTTCACTGAAAATAATTATTCACTCATCATAGGACAGTATTGTATCAAATTATTTAATATCACACAATTTTAATCATATTTGAAAGGCACTTGATTTTGCTTAATTTTAATCAATGTCATTAGACATTTTTTTTCTTTTTTTTTCAAAAAAAATTATTAAGATATAAATTTTTATATTCTCTTCACAATATCTTCATGTATATTATATATTTCTCTTTTTCTTAAACAACGAAACAGAACCGACGTATGCTCTCCGTCCCGCACTACAACTGACTGAATCGCTTTTTTTTTCTTAAATATTGTATACAACAAACAAACAAAAAAAAATATTTTTTACGAACGAAGAATGAAAATAAAAAGAGAAACAACAAAAAATACAGAAAACTCAATTGACAGCATATTTAACAACTCAATATAATAAAGCAAAATGAAAATCTTGAAAATAAACTCATAAACATTCCTTTAGTTCGTACATACATGCATACAAACATACAGTAACAGACATATGAACGTTGTTACTTTTATGGGTGTGCGTAACAGATTTTTTATATGATCCATAGATTGTATAATGGAAATATAGATAGATCATTCGGTTTGCTCCAAAACTTTGTTTCTTATATGTTTCAAAACTTTTCTGTTGTTTTAGGATCGAACTTTTAAAGGTTAAGGCTATAAAGTTTTCTAAATTAAAACATATGATGTGAATTATATGAAATAATAAATTGGATTAGTTTGCAGCATAGAAGTTGTTGGTGCAATAAAACTAGATCGGAGGATGTTTTATCATTTAGAAATTGTTTCTGGTAGCAAGTTTAAGATGAACCTTATCGAACTATAAAGAATATTACCGTTCATATATTACGCTACGTGAAAAAAATATTTTTTGAACCCCCCCCCCCCCCCCATCTTCCCCCCTTGTAACCAAAATTTGTATGAAAAAAAATTCTTTTGTTTGAATCTTTACTTAAACTTAAACCCCACTTCCCCCTTAAAAGCACTGAACAACCCCTTATGACGTCAGTAAAAAAGAGGAACTTCAGATTGCGCCCCTTCCTATCTTCGACTGACTTCAAAATTTCAATAATAAATGTCCTTAACAATTCTGATAGAATATCAAGTACATTAGTGGTAATTAAATAATGCAGCAATTGTAAAGCTTACCTTTCTAAATATAGGGCACAGTTTGCAGAAAAATTAATGGAAACCAGTGATGACCAACCCATGTTCCACGAAAGTATTGACAAAGCCTTCAAATTCTGAGCCGTGTTTCAGCTATCGCTTACCACTAAGGTGTGCAGTGGCACAAAACAGGTTGTCCACCACTGATGTAAAGCAATCATGAAAGTATAAAATTTTAAAAATTATTTATTATCCCTAACCTCTGCTTTGACCATGTAATGGTCATTGCAATTAATAGCAAAAGTGTGTCTCAACTAGTGTATCGGGTAGCAACCCAATGCGGATATATTCACACCGTACCATCAAAAGTCTTATGGATAGACCAAGATTTGCTTAGTATAAGTTTCTAAAGTTTATCACAGTGAACTTTTGTTTTGAAAAATTCATAAGAAAGGAAAGTTTTTTGCTTTTTCTGAAGCAACGGCTGTTCCTACCTTGCCTTAAAAACAATACAGTTCTTCTATAGAGCAGCACGGATCAAATGTAAAAAACTAGAAGTCTCTACGATGTCTCGTTATTGAGATTTCTTGCTGATTAACTTGCTTGCTTATTTGCTTACAGAAAGCGTATTTTGCGATTTTCTCAGCAATGCCGCAACTAATTTGAAATCTGTTTTTTGCAAATGATGTAAAATTTCAGGCACAAACTTTTCTTCTGTACATTTTAAGCTATCTTGCTCGATATCCTCACAAAATTCAATAAACTGATTTTTCAATCTGAACAAAACCAAAAGATTCACTCGAGAAAACGGTGTGAATATAAAAACAGAACACAATTTTCAAGGATATAAACACATTCTTTTTGGTTTCTGCTGCAAACTTTCTAATTATTAGACAATCTTACATCCTTGTTAAAAAATAAAATTGTCATGTTGACACCATATGTTAAATGTAGCAAAACTGTCTCATGATCATCACAAAAATTGGCACATTGAAGCCATAAAAACCATAATCTTATTTTAATAGCATGCTTTAAGTATTTTGCATAGACAGTATCAAGTAACAAGTCCTAGAATTTGAATTTTGATAGATCTTACATCCTTACTTCAAAAAAATCAGCAAGTGTGCTACATAAGAACATCCTTAAGCAAAAATCCACATGTTGATTCTAGGAACATCTCCTAGACCGATCACTCTAGCTCAACTCGATCTATGATTTTCTTCCAAAATAAATGAATCAAGTAGATGTGGAAGAAGAAGAAGAGGCAACAGAGAGAAATGAAAGAAAGGAAAGAAACTGACTGAAAGAGAACTATGAACAATGTGTGCTGTGAATGTATTGAAAGTTCTGCAGCAGCAGCAGACATTCTACTACCACAATCAGCACTCCACTCATGATCAAATTGGTTATTTCGTATATTTTTTTCTTCCTCAAATGACATCTAAATTATCTCGCAAAAAATAAAATAAAAAAAAGGCAACGACGAGGAGAAGAGAAGAGCACAGCAGAGAAAAAGGAACGTTTACAGTGATTACATTGAGTTCACATACGCAAACACATTTAAGACTCAATCAACGCACAATTCTTTTCTTAAAAATGATATTTAAGAATGATCTCTATCTATCGTTATGATTGCTGATTGACTCCCGGGTGGATACAAAAAAAAACTGAAATAAGAAGAACATTGATTGAGAAATCGTGATGGAAGGTTGATTAGCTATTTAAGAATATAAATTCTCGAATATTTTTTAACGGCTTAACTATCGAGCGATCTGATGGTAAAGGAGGAGAGAGAGAGAACTTCTCAATCATAGTTTAAAAAAATATTTTAATTAAGATCTTAAAAAACCTGAAAGAAGAAATCTTTAAACCTGTTTTCTTTTAGCGTTTCATCAACAACACATCGAAGAAACTACACATCATCAATTGTGTGAAAATTAAAACATTATTTTTTTTTGTTTCTCTTTCACTCACTTGCTGCTCTGTATTGTTTTTCATTCTCTCTCATTGCCTTTTTTTTTTTTTGCTTTACTTTTTTGATGAATTCACCATCCAAATCTAATTTGTGTGTCTGATTGTTTGTGCTGCTCACACATCCGTATAATGGATAATGGTTAAATGTCTTTATTGAGGTACGATAAAAATACATAATTTTCATTTCTTCAGCGTAAATCACACACTATTATGTGTATTGTGTGTACGATGAAAAACACATTGAATTATGTGCACAAGAGAATCTTCGATAATTGATCAGAATTGAGTGAGTGAGAGAAGGAGAAAATATTTTGTTTTTGGATGAAAATTCACAAGGTGCGTCTGGATATTAATTAAGACTTTTTCCTAATTGCTACTCACTGAGACTGATTTTTTTCTAATTTAAAAAGTTTTGCTGAAAATTACGCAGAGTCATCAGGACATAATTAGACAGACATGATCATGTCCTATCTTTTTCTTGACTTAGCAACCTTTTATAGAGTGAATTGTTCAGATTGAAACATTTTGGATTGAATTTTGAATGTTACTAGGTGAATGAGAAGCAGGTTTGCTTGTTAAATGATCATTGCTACTTTTTTTAAGGATATACAACCCAAATTTATTAATTTAAGCTGAATAAGTTAAGACTTTTTTCAAATTTCAAATTCGAGGTGAGAAAAAATTCACCATTTTGATTTTTTTTTAAAAAAAAATTTGTTCTACTTTATAAAATTTAAGGGAAAGGATGAAGGTTTTGTTTTGCCAATTTTTTGTAACCGAAGATCAACTTTGATCCAGCTTTAATTAAGAATTCAATCATTCATCTTAAAGTGGAAAAAAATTTCTTCATTCTGCAATAAATTCAAATTCTCAGGAATCGTTAATAACTCTATCAAGAAATCACTCCATCAAGATATCATTGACCATAGAATTAAATGAAAATGCGCCCAAATCCATGAGTTAACATCTTCATTACTTCAATTTCTTCTTCTTAATAAAGAGAGAATGAAAAAAAATTGTATGGTATAAATATAAAATTAATTTAACAGTGTGTGATTGTAAGAAGAACGAGCACATATAAACTCATAAAGAAATGAGAAATAAAGTCTATGCTTGTGTACACACACGCACATCTTCTCCGATCATGCTTCTCATTCCAATTGCTTGGAGCAAGTATTCATGGTATCTACATACAAAATAATATTTTTTTTTTCATCTTTTGCTTTCGTGCTTTTTCATATGAAGTCATGAAAATTTATCTCTTGCCGAGAGATCAGAGAGAAGTAACAAGAAAAGACAGTGGAGAAGAAGAAGAAGATGGAAAGAAAAATAGTGGGATGGAATATTCACTCACAATTGACTATCCTGTGAGTCTATCGCACCGCGATTATTGTTTTCATTCTTCATGCTCTTCTTACATCGTATTTTCGTTCATCTCAATTCATTTTCATGGAAATATAATTGCTAGACGGGGAGAATTGCACGAGAGATAAAGTTCCTTTCTTTCTTTTGTATCCAGAAATAAGAATCGATATATAAATAATGGGTGGTTCATCAATGATCTTTTACTCTTCATTTACTTTATATTTTTTTTTCTTCTCTCCATTGTACGTGTGGAATAATGAATAACGTTGCTGTATATATTTCTTCTGCAAGTAGAAGTTGATCACCACATTTTGTTGCTTTGTATGCGTCTACAATATCTTTTTTTTGCCTTATTCTTGGAAAGAAACTCTGCTCGCCCACTTTTAATACTTATTAACCATTATTTTATAAAACTTATAGCATATACATCTATATATCAATAAATATATAGATATTAAGTCTTGGACACATTTACTCGACAAGCTACGATGATGATTAACTTGTCATCAATTTTAATGTCTTAATCAATGCATTGAAGATTTATACAGCAACAGAAAAGAACAAAATTCTTTGAATTATGGCGCAGTGAAAGATTTAAATTCAGTTTGGGTTTATTTTGGCCTTTTTTTTGCTTCTTCTTCTTGTCTTTTTTGTGTATGCACAACTGTTACGTCTACTAAGCATATATAGATAGTTTGAATGTTCTTAAAATAAAATTTTACGCTCAATAATTGTTGTTTTTATTTGTTTAAGGATTTGATATTTTTTTACGAGGAGTTTAAAAAGGGATACAAAAGCAAATAAGGAACTAATCAATTTCTCGGGCATCGTCGCCTTTTATTTCTTTATTTTCTCTTTTTTTTCTTTCTTAACTTTGAATAAATTAAATTTCGGTATTTTATTGAAATGAAATTGGAACACGTAAGGAGAAAGAAATTGAGAGGAACTGTGGGATTCAACATGTTTTTGATTTCTTAATGAATTACAATTAAAGTTTTTTGTTTTCTTTTGTTTGTATTGGGTTAGGGTTATTGGAATGAATTCTTTGTTTTGATCTATGCATATGGTTTGAAATGCTAAAGATATGTTGTTTAACTATGTAATTTTGACCACAAATTATATTGAGCATACCTAATATGATTATGTCTATGAATTGTAAAGGGATTAAGTTTGTAGCTTCGAAATTTAAATGAAGAGATGTTCTATGAAATAATTGAAAATGGTAAGAACCTAATTCATAGTTGGATTTAAGAATTTTACTTCTAAATTAATCTTTGAACTTCCATAAAAATATTAAGCCTCTCAAACTACTTTCAACCAATTTACTTACTTTTAGCCTTTAGCCTCAATCTAATTTAGACAATCCTTCATTTATAGATAAATCTAGAATAAAATTATACCTTACAATTTCCTACAAAACTAGAACGAAATCAATGATCTGTTCATAAATTTTTATAACATCATTTACCGCTACTCTGATTCTAATCAAGTCATCTTGTGCCATTTTTTATTATTACTCTACATTTCATAAATTTTCTAAAAATCATTCACATTTGGGTCTATAAATCCATAATATGATAGCTATTTGGAAGGTTTCATAAATCAAAACAAATCTTTGGGCTATTCTTCATTCAAACGGATCTAAATTACAAAGTGGTGCATACATCAAAAGACTGTAACCTAAAACTTCTCTTAATTATCCTTTTTGGGAACCGAAACTTAACCTCTAAAAAATCATCGTCCTTTTCTCAGCTCCATAAATCAAGTCACATTAAGTAATTTTCTAGAAAATCAATGGCTGGAAATTTTTTCTTATTGCCTCTTAATTAACTCATCAAGTCGATAATTTATTCACTAAGTCTGATGATACTTGAGTGTCCATAATTTCACTCAACACGCGTCTCAAATCGAACACAATTCATCAGTCGCATGCTTGCTAATCTTTAAAAAATTGGAAGAGGATTAGTCCAAAAATAGACAATCATCATTAAGTAATACCAGCTGGATATGATCATGTCTGTGGTGTTAACAGCGATGATGTCAGATGACACCTTCTACAAGTCTTTCAAAGATGATTTTTTTTTCTGGAAATGATTTTCGATGAATATTTGGACGAATTATGTTAATTATATCCAATAAAGTCTGACTTAATCCTGAATATTTGAATATTTTAATGTGTCATATTAGCTTTTTAGATCACTCGATCTTTAGCAAAGTTTTTCGACAGAAATAATTTTAATTCTTGTTATGTTTAAATCACCTTATTGAGTTGTCTAATAAATATTTCACTTCCTTTAGCTTTTTAGTGCTGTAAATTTATTTTGCAAATTTTTGTGAATCAATATTTAAAATGGTTGAAAAAAATTGAATATATTTTTAAAATTATAGCATTAAATGATATTGGAATTGTTAAATTGTAAAGAGCTCTGAAAGCGACTATACTCCTGAAGTCGAGTTTTAATAACGTCTCTGCAAAAATTATAAAAGTTGTTAAAAATTATAAAAAAAAAATTTTTTTTTTCAGAAATTAATAATTACTGTTGATGTTATTGTTGCCCATCCTGTAGTTGTGCGAGTTGTTCCTGGTAGTGATACGTGATATGTTGTGGTAGGAGTAGTTGACCACGGAAGTGCTGTAGTTGTTCCAATAGTTGTACCTCCATAGCAATTGACAACTGTGCACACATAACGGTTAGAAACGCATCTGGACAAGCAATGATCGAAATATGGCATATTTTGAGGACATCTACTAAGAATTAAACCATTTCTATCAATACAAATCATGAATTGAGAGCAGTTATTAAGGTCTGGAAATGTTGATCCTGGTTGTTGATTCTATGGACCAAGCATGATGTCACTAAATTGAATTTTAAGGAAATTTAAAAACTTACATAACAAATTCCTGATTCAATGATATCAACTGCTTCTGCTTCTTCCTAAGTTGTTTTAAAAAAATAAATATAAAAAAATTTGGCATTTTCTATTAAGTTAAGAATCACTAACCTTAGCATTACTTATGTCTAAAATCACACAGACCAGAATTGGAATTAAAATCATAAATTTCATCTTCAAATATTTTTTAACACAAAAGAAGGTAAATTGGTCTTTAACTTTCGAAATGTGGAACCGTTGTGAAATACTTATAGAACTAAAGCTGCCTTAGAAAATAATGATAAGACTGACAATTTTGATAACAGCTTATATTTCGCCATTAATGAGTAATTCGTTAATATTCGTGGAATTAATCGAAAGCAACGGGACTTTTTTTATAATCACTGATAAGAGGTGCATCCAGAATTTTTAAGGTTAAAAAATTAGATTAAGGTTTTTAAATTCCACTTTATTTAAAAAATTCCAATAAAATTCGAAACTTAAAAATTATGATTCATCCTCAATAACTTCATCGACTCCTTCTTGAGCTGGAACAATCAATCCATTCTGGAACTAAGATATTATTAACTTATGAGGTAATTTCCGATTTCCTTTAAACTTACATCATCACAATTATTTCTTTGACAAATTAATGATCTGAGGTCACAGCTTGATGTGCAAGAATCAAAGTATGGATGACTACTTGGACATTTTCTTACTCGCATGACATCATCGATGCAAATGATATATTCATTGCAGTTATATGGTACTGGGAATCTTTTGCCATTTCCGAATCTCTAAAAAACAGGACATAAGAGGCTTAAATGTTTTAAAAATTGGGAAGGATTAATGTTGAGGAACTGAAAAATCATCTTTGATAATTTTTGAATTTTTCATAAGTTTTTTAAATCTTATTGATCAGTTCCTCGCCATTGACAAGCAATTACTGCCAATTTCTTACCTTACAAATATTCCTTGGATATAAATTCAAATCATCAAACTGTAAAACAATTAAAAAAGTAACATTATTCATGCTTCAATGCCAAAAAATCACAAATCTTACATCCTTAAGAAGGAAACTTTGGGAATAGCATATGCATGCAAAAACCACAGCAATCAGTAATTTCATTGTAATAATATTCAGTTCCTTCAGTTCCTTCACAAATAAATATTTTCTTAAAATTCACTCTAAATGATTCAATTGTCCGAAACAATCTAAAGTTCAGAGAATAGTCTTGAACAATGTTTGTTGCAATTTTATCACATCTGGCTATGGGTTAGACTTAGGGGTTGGAGCTTGAAATCTCCGAACAGATTATATCTCTTTTAGATGTATGAGACAAGGTGTAATTAAGTTTGTTTAAAGAAAACATAGGGCTCTTCTCACAAACGAAGGAAGGGAAGTTCACGTCATCCTAGAATTCAATATTTGACGATATCCTAAAATTTTCTCTAAGGCAAATTCAAGGTAGTCCTCCTAAGTACACCTCTAAACACATGTGAGTAAAAAAAGTGATAAAAACAAATTTTCAGACAGTAAAAAGTGAAGATACAAGTTGTTCATGATACGAATATGACACGTGCTTCCCTTCTCTGATAACACTTTGTTGTTTCAATTCAATTCCTTATCATTAAGTCACTCAATCAATAAAATAATAAAAGACTTTTTTTGTCAATAGTCAAGCCTTTTAATTCCGGTAAATACCAATAATTTCTCATACAGCCTTAAATCTTTCAGAAAATCGCATAAACACCTCAAATCAATCACCAAAGGCTTATCAAAATCGATTAACTTTCTCATTCATACAAGTCACATGCAGGTCATCAAATAATGCCAAATTCGATAAACTCCGATTAATTCATTTTCAGACACTGACAATTCAGTGATTTGCAAATCATTAAACTAATAATTACCGTAACAACATAATAATAATAAAGTAGAGCCATAGGTAGATGAACTAGAGGGGGGAAATCATAGTCAAATAATGAATAATGAGTTATTGCCAAAATCAAGCTGTGCAATGTCGTTATTCTCTTCTATACTGTCTTTGATCTTCTTAGTACAACATTATGTATGGTTGCTTCAGGTCAAAAGTTTCTACATTTTACGCTATAATCATTAAATGAAGTGTTCTTGACGTATTTGGTTCTTGAACAAAAATTAATGTCGGTAATGATGCTGGAGGAGTTTCTAGAAATTGGTAAGTCTAAAAGGGTTTTTTTTGTGTGTGTCTTAAAGTCCTCAAATAGAAAAATTTTTGTGGGATATGAAAGTTCTTACATAACTTCAAAAGTTATACCTAATTTATGTTATAATTATGTCAGCTACAAAAACAATAAGTTTGAATTTTGTCACCCTCGGGAACACTATGAACCAGTATAGCTGATTTTGGTCCAAATCTCGGCCATACTTCACACTTATTTGAACCACATTTTCTCGTAAATGTTAAAAAATTATTAAAAAGTAATTAAAGTACTAAGTAATTAAAGTAATTAAGGGTCGCCCCTAGTCCAAAATTGAAAATGTATTTCCTACTTGTTTCTTTGCTCAAAAAAATTTTAGAATGTTTTATTTGTATTTGTTTTAAGCACTAGAATATTTATGCAAAGTTTCAATCTATTTGGCTAAACCCTCGAAGAAAAAAGTGTCAAAATTGATTTTGACTAGGGTCTCCCCTAGTCCAAAATTGAAAATTGATTTTCTATGGTGTACTTTGGTCAAAAAAATTTATTGGATGTTTTATTTCAATTGACATAATTCTGACATATTTCACATACCAATATTATTTTTTGTAATGCATAGCTTAAAAAAAACGAAATCTAAAATTTCGACTACCCCATCTGAATTTTGTTCATACTCTTCACTGTGGAAACCAAAAAACAAATTCTTTATCTTAAAACACTTGACAAAATAGCGACATAATTCAGGATTAATTACTTTTTAATAATATTTTAACATTTACGAGGAAATGTGGTTCAAATAAGTGTGAAGTATGGCCGAGATTTTGACCAAAATCAGCTATACTGGTTCATAGTGTTCCCGAGGGTGACAAAATTCAAACTAAGTTTTTTTGTAGCTGACATAATTATGACATAAATTAGGTATAACTTTTGAACTGTGTCGATATGGGTCTCGGCCGTACTTCACGACTACCTTTCTCGTGATCTCACATAAGGATTGATAGAGTTCTAAAATTTCGACATAATTTCTGATCAACCCATTTAAAATAAATAAGATCAGTAAAAATAATAGTCATATCAGTTATAGAACCCTAAGGCATTGAAGACACAAAGACAAATCAAATAAGAAGAATCAAAAAATATGACATAAAATTCAATAAAAATTTAATATTAAAATACAAGAATTATAATTTTTACCAGATTCAATCTACAGAACTAGCACCTGCAGCTCTACTTTGAGTCAGTATAAATTTCCTTTGATTCTGTTTCATTTCGATTAAATTGTAAGCAAGATTTATGGTCAATAAAAATATTTGAGATGACATTATTACTTTCATTCCAATGCGTCTCAAAAGTCATTCTCAGGATCTTTGCCTTAAAGTTTTTTTGAAAATTACACAAAAGAAACTAAATCTAATAAGAATATCCATCGATAAAGAAGAACATTAAATGTATCATCAACAGTAACGCCATCTAACGGCAAGCACAAGAAGCACAGCAGATTAAAATTTTAAAAGCATTACTAATGATAGTTTAAAGACACAATATAGTAATAGCAAGCACAACAAGTGTATATTTGTGTAAGCATCAACCCAGGGGGAAATTTACTCAGCCTAAAATTTTTTTGAGTAAAAAAATGAGTAAAACAAAAGCGTAAAAAATGAGTAAAAAGTGTAAAAAAAGAGTAAAAAGTGTAAAAAAAGAGTAAAAAGTGTAAAAAAAAGATTAAAAAACGTAAAAAATATTACAAAAATATTTTTACAAAAAACTCCTAAAACTTGATTTGAACTAGAATTAAACCCATGTCCTTAAGGACGCAAGTCTAACGCTCTGCTAATAAGGCCACTGATACCATTTTACCGCATTCAAGCTATAATAATAATCTGTGAAGGGCCCAGCCTTTCAGATGGAGGCATACCTAGCAAAGGAGGCATATTCTGTGCCAAAGACCTCAAAACTACATCCAGCTTCTAAAATTAGACAAGACCTGGGATTGAACCCTGAACCTTTGGCTATAGAAACTTTAAAAAAAAACAGGCTAATCGTTTTCAACGTTACTATTTTAATTTTTTAAATATTGTTATTTATTTTTATGAAAGTTGATGTAAAAGGAACCACGTTGATCGAAAAAGTGAAAAGTTTGTCAAAAATTCAGCTTATATGCTTATGTTGTTGACATTGGTCCCTACTTTATGGGAAAAATAATTTTTTCCCCCGGAAGTGACTGGTCCACGAGAAAAGAGGGTTTGAATTTTTGTACTTCATGTAATTTTTAAAATGCTTTTGTGCTTCATCTACTTATCCGTTTGTCTTCAAACTTTTTTTATTTGATAGATACAAGTGAGAATGTTCTTATGAAAAGAGTTCTTATGAATACCCACATGACATACTTTTTGTGCATATTGGTTCCTAAAAGTTTGATATAAATGTCATAAAAGTAGATTTACGATGTTAATTTCAGTAAAATAGTAAATGCTAGTATGCTTCGATCAGTGGAAAATCCAGGGGGGCGACAGAGCAAAAATTTCTATGAAAAAAAAACCCAAAAATGTTTACTCTGATGAAATTTCCAAGTACTCCACTTTGAATAGGAAAAAAAATTGTCGAAAAATGAAATTTTCGCAATACTTCCTTCCGATGCAGTTTAGGACCGAAATTTTGATTGGAACTGATGAGAATCATGATTTAAGACCTTTTGACATCCAAAAATTTTTACTTTGATGCTTCAGTTCCTTTAAATTTGACTTTTTCAATTTCGTTTGTGGAGTACTTGGAAATTTCATCAGAGTAAACATTTTTGGGTTTTTTTTCATAGCAATTTTTGCTCTGTCCCCTCCCCCCCCCTGGGAAAATCCAAATAATTTTTTTCTGATGTAGAATTAATTGGTTAATAATAATCAGAACAGTTTGACAAAGAATCTTTTTATTGGATAGTGACTATAGCGAAAAAAGAATTTTAGTATATGGATTATCCTAAGATTATCCTACGATAATTCTGAAGATTATCCGAATTTTCAATCTTGGGGGACCAAGTTTTAACATTTTGGATTAATTATGTAGATAATCCTAGGATAATCTCAGGATAATCTTCGGATAATCCACCTACTAGGATAATCTTTTTTTGTGAAATCCATCGTCAAAAAATTATTTTCTTTAAATGCATTTTTTCTGAATCACCGTGCTGTTTTACGTAATAGAAAAATTTCATGGATTATCCTTAAATTGAAAAATTGGATAATCCGATCCGAGGATTATCCATCTATATGAAATCGGCCGAAAAAAATCAAATTTTAAAATAAAAGTTTGATGGTGTAAAAAATCGTAAAAAAGTGTAAAAAGCGTAAAAAAAGAGTAAAAAAAAGTAAAAAGCGTAAAAAATGAGTAAAAAAAAGTAAAAAGAGTAAAAAAAATTATGAGTAAAACAGGTGTAAAAATTTTAGGCTGAGTAAATTTCCCCCTGCATCAACCACAATCATCATTTGCTCAAGTTTAGATTTGAAAATGCATTTGACGTTAGTTATGAGCTTACATGCAATGCGTAATGAAATTTGAGATGATATTAATCATAAATCAATACATACCTGAATTATACCTTTGAGATTGCTTATTAATGCTTAATAATATTGTGAATTTACCTGATGATGAATGAAAGGTGAATCATGGATGCTGAAATATTGTCCGGAAGTTAATACGATTCCAGAATCATGATGCACGTTGTAAGGGTGAATTAAGGCTAAATATATCTGTATGACTTTGCAGCAGTTCATGAACTTGATGGATTATCAACGTTTATGAATCAAATTATCTGCTCTTACAGTGGCAGCTTATGAAGGGAACCTTCCCTAGTAGCCATAATCATCTATGTGCATAACATTGACCTTCCTTAGGAACTTGAATATTATACATATGGACGATTATGGTTACTAGGGTCAATTCATCAAATCCAACTAGAACATATTGATGTGCTGTTCTCATAAATTTTAAGCTGTTACATTATTTGGCAAGTAGCTGACAGTAAGATGCAAATTGGTTCTAAATCATTGTTTCTCACATGCTCGGCAAAACGTTACTGATCCGCAAGAAAATACTACGTTTGTCAATAGTGGTTGCCAGTGTGACAAGGAACGAATGGTTTACTGCTCTGTGTAGCCTGAAAAGTTCTAGAAACACTGTTCTAAATGGATCTAAACTCGTTGGACTGCCTTATATTCAACATATCAACTTGTACTGATCAGCTTAGTAATTCTATGATGAATATATCTGTAAGAATGGGTACTGTTGTGATTCTAATTGATCTTTTACTAGTTCTTAATTTTTTTTTCATATTTCTATATCATTAAAATATAGTTTTCTATATCATTAAGTATGAATCATTCTATATAGAAACCCAAAGTCTGTAAATGTTATACTAAATGACTTCATAGCATTTAAGCATTTTTCAGAAAAGAAACTTATTCAAGTCAAATACTAAGCTTCATACTATTTAGCTATTTTATAATTGAAAAAATACTATAAAAAAAAAACTTTTTTTAAAAAAGCACGCTTTTATTTCCGATTACAGTGCACTAAAAAGGAGAAAATAATTTTTTTCTAAGCACTCAAATATGATACAAAATTTTATGACTAAAAATAAAAGCGTGGGGCGTTCAATTTAAACCTGCTCTAGATTTTCTATAATTTATTCACACTATATTGTAATTTTTCATTTTTTGATGCAACTTCTGTAAACGAAAGACCTTTTAACATTTTGAGATCGTTCACAAATTCAAGATTTAGTGACAGATGCAAGAACGCCCCACGCTTTTATGTTTAGTCATAAAATTTTGTATCATATTTGAGTGCTTAGAAAAAAATTATTTTCTCCTTTTTAGTGCACTGTAATCGGAAATAAAAGCGTGCTTTTTTAAAAAAAGTTTTTTTTTTATAGTATTTTATTTTCTACTTTTTAGTCGTGTTAAATGTATGAATCGATATTACTTCCAAAATTTGAAGTTTTTGTTTTATTTCAACACTGAATTTATCAGACTTAATGAGTAGGTTACAGTTTTTAGATTACAGGAAGTTTTAGAATCCACTTCCTTTCACTTCAATCGGTTCAACTGTTCATAGATTACCATTTTTTAATGGATAATTAGTAAAGAATGTCAAAATTCTTCATTCGTTTTAAATTATTTAAGTCATACCTGAAAACACATAAAACTCTTTTTAAAATGTCCTAACTTCAATTAAAGATTTTGTGTTTATCCGGACCATTCCTACTACATAACGTGCGGATTCTTTACATAAAGATGCAAATCCCATCTTTATGTAATTTGCATATAACCGATTTTCAAATTTAAATTCAATGTATGCACAATGATTCAGAATCGAAAAAAATGTTCAAAAATTCAAAAATTTCATGTTAATTAAACTATGTCCTTTAAATGCCAGATTAAAGATCTTAACTTGAGGCATATCCTATGAAAATATCTCGTCCCAATTTGATGTCTAACTCCAGAAATCATTAATTTAATCTCACCCAAAATTTGTTTACAATTTGTGTATGAAAAAAAAAATATGATTTTTTCTACTTTAAGTTGTTATTTGGATGTCTTGGAAGCAGTTACTAGCTAATTTAAGCTTAGCTTTACATACTAAAACAACCAACTCAATAGAAATCTGCGTATTAAGCCTTAAAAATGGAATTGAAATCTGAGTATTTTTACACTACTTAAACTATTCATAAGTTAAAAAGTCTTCCAAAGACCTCTCTGAAACCTATATAAATCCATTAATTAAGTTAAAATCTATCTCCCATATTACTGAGGACATGCCGTTTGATGCCGTTTTCGAGATATTTGCGATCAAAGTTTACATAAATTTTCATACAAAATTTGATCATGCACAATATTTTTTGATAAACTTTTACAAACTTTTGGTAAAAAATCATGTTTATCCTTTATATTAGGGACTAATTTTTTGAGCAATGAACGAAAACATTATGTAGATGATGCTAAAAGATTCAAATCAAGAGAAATTAACAAAAACTTTCAATTTTCTAATGTGTTGGAAAAATATTGTGCACAAGGAATTTTTGAACATTTTTTCCGAATCTGAATCATTGTGGTATGTCATTTATATGTTATGCAAAAATACGTCATGCCGTTAAAAGAGAAGTCAATTTAATTAAATTGGTGAAGTGTTATAAATAATGTAATACATTTAAAACAGCATAAATTTATGCTCAAAATATGTGTGCTAAATGCACATCTCATATTAATAGTTATTTTGCATTAATCCGCAACGGACTTATGTTTAACGGTTTTTTTGAAAATTCAAATTTTCACTTACGAATATTCATGAAAAAACGTGGTAAAATCACTTGTCAATTTTTTCATCCTCCCAGATAATCTTTAGCTGCTCAAAATTATAGTATAATTAATAATTAGTAATATTAATTAAACTATAATGAATCTTATAAATGACTGTTGAGTATTTCAAGTGTAATATTTTAAACAAATCAAAATTTTATATCATTGACATTGGATTTTTTTCCCATATAAAAAAGTTTTACTAAAATTGTATTATAATTAAGCATTTTTGTGGTCCCAAAGTGTTAAAATATTGTATTGTCATCGAGAATACGTGTGCATTTAAAATTTGAGCTCTATTGGAGCAGTGAAAGTGGTCGTAAAATCGATTACAAGATTTGACTCAGACAAACAGTGTGAGTTAAATAAAAGCGTGTAATAAAATGATTGTCAACTTTAAGTTTTAATTGATTTAAAGAATTTTCAATCATAGCTTATTAATAAGCTTCCTAGAACTCAAAAGTTAAGTTCGAAATTCTTTAAATTTTAAAAAATTATTTAACTTGAGCCACAAACTAATGAAACTGGATAAAAATCAAATATTTCCCGCGATATCTAAGACAAAATTTAAGTAGCTTTAAAGCTCACAATTGAGCAACACGTTTTTATTTACTCATTCCGTTTTTTCTTCACACAATTTCTGTTTTTTTTTCTTTTCTGTTGCATCAATTTTTTATTCATTCTCTTTAAACGAGATTTGTAAAGCAGACGAGCATGTTGTGTACTTTTGTGCATTGAATATTTTTTTCAAAAAAAATAAAAAATAAAAATTTAAAAGAGAAAAAATAAAAATAAATGAGAGAATTTTTTTTTCTTTATTTTGTTTAAAGTGTGAAGTGAAATGAAAATAAAGGAAAATAAATTAGTCTGAAAATTTTCCATGAAAAGCAAAGGAGAAATTTTTGAAGATATAAAATGTGAATATAGTGTCCAATAGTGAGAAATCGACTGTCTGGAGAGTACACAGCACATAATAACAACAACAACAACAAAAAAAAAGACCGAATGAACTTTAGTGAGAAAAATCAAAAAAATGAACAAGTTAATTTGCTTCAATTGTGAAAATTGTACGCAAAACGGAATAAAATTGAAAGGTAAAAAGTCATTGGTGCTGTTTTTAGATTTTTTGTTTTTCATTGTCTTACCAATTTTTATTTTGTGTCGGAAGATTCGAAATAATAAAAAAAAATGTTCTCCTTCCTTCTCTTTTGACCATTGCAATGGTTTATATCCATGCTCTCACAAGTAGAATAAGTGTGTAAAACTTACTTTTTTGTTTTGTTTTGTTTCCTATATCTTTCCTCTTCTCTTCATTCCATCCAAAGATTATTATTTTTGTTGTTGCTACATGTAAACATACCACCATTAATCTGATATAGGGTTTCCCTCATATGGGATCACGTATGAGAGCTCTTTGTGCTCATTTTCTGTGCTGCTGCTGTGTTTTGAGTTTCTTACTGAATGTTCATCAGCAAATTAATTTGCAGAAAGTTTAAAATGTGTTCAGTGCTTAATATTTTAAAAGGTGTTAATTTGACTATAGTCTAGCAAATTAAGTTCAATATCAACATCCAGGATACAAATTTCTTAAGCATTTCGAGTGGTCCATTGCGGCAAACTTCATTTATTGTCGTCAGGAAACTGTTTTTGCGTCTTAAGTATCAATTTCTGTAATTTTAAATCTTTAAATTAGCGATATGACATTCCGGTTACTTTTAGATATAAAAGGTTCAATCCAGAGTTGGAGGCGTAGCCAAAAAAATTTAAAATGAAATTTTATAGCTATTTTGCATTCTTTAGACAAGTTTTGAGGCTTCTTTCTCATGAAACTCTAGTTAATCAAAAAAGATTTCAAAAATGGTAAAGGTTTGACCTAAAAAGCGCTTCATGGCTACAAACCTGGACCTTAAGTCAGACAACGTCTAGATTTAAACATCACAGACCAGACTCTGTTATCCAGACAGGTTTGAATCTCATCTTTTAATTGTGAGGTATTTTTAAAATAAAAAAAAGAACCTCAACGTAGTGTTTCAGCGTTTTGCGACACTAGAATGTATTGATGAGGCATTAGTGGATCGCAGATCATACTGTGACTAGGACTGATCTAAACTTCCAATACATTATTGATGATTTAAAAGAAATGAAGTCATAAATGCATTTCAATCCGGTTCTTGCTTGTATTCTATTTTATAGTCAGCAACTAATCTTAACAAGGAACCCTAGAACCCCTAATCCATACCACACTAAATATGCAGAACAGAAAATATGTAACATAGAAAAAATCCTTAATTCATTTTTGTTGTAATCAAAAAAAGATCGACCAACATAGTCGCATTTTCATTCTCGACTCGTTCCTATTCACTCTCTTACTATATATAAATAGTATCACTTAATGCGTGTGATACATCAATTTTGAAATCTCTTTTTTTTTTGAGAAATTGAGCCATTATCTCTCGTGTGAGTCGCTTTTTTTTGGTCGCGGCATTTCTTTATTTTCACTTCAATAATTCTTCAAATCTCTTTTTAATCTTCTTCCTCCTTGTTCCAAACATTTCTCTCTGTATAAAGTTTTTTTGTGGTCAAGGTTTGAACACTTGTCTTGGAGACGAATCAAATGGGAAGAGAAGCAGGTATGAACAGACACGTGAAAGAACAATAAACCCCGATTCTGGTTCGACAATTTTTTTTTCATGTGGTTTTGTCGACAATTTTTAAGCGGAAATGAAAATTAACAATAAATTCACTGCAATTTCTACGAATTGTTCAGATTTTCTCTCTCCCGTGCTGGATATCTGTTACCTGATTTCATGAGAAAAAATAAAAAAAATTGCATAAAGTATCTCAAAAACTCATTCAAAAACAGGTTTTAATGCATTTTTGAGATAATTTTGTCTTCCTTAGAATTAATCCCCACAGAAGATTAAGATTGTTTCTATTGAATATTCAATGATTTTTATTAAAATAAGTTTATTTATGTCTATTGACGTAGAATGCAGACAACTACACAACAATCAGCTTTTGATTTGCTTTTACCCATAAATTAATGTCTAGCTATAAAGTTGGATGACAAATATTAAGACTTTTATCTAGTTTTCACTTAAGAAAGAAATGTCTTGGATGTTCTGTGTCTATGACTCAAATTAATAATGATGGAAGCTCTTCAATGGATTAAAATTCTTTAGAAAAAAAATCTCTTATAGACATTGCAAAATTAAGCCTTGAATTTAATATTCTGAAGGAGATAAAACAATTAAGATGCTTGGGGGTCCTTGATTTGAATAAATTTAACATTGAAGAAAAATCTTTCAAAATTAATCTGTTTTGAATTTTTTTTGATACTTTAAACTTACAGTTAAAAATTCAATTCATTCAAACCGAGGACCCCCACTTTTCCATATTCAAGACATAATTCAGAACTTCTACAGACTATAACTCTCCCAATTTTAATCACATAAAATATTCTCTGGAAATAATTTTTTAAAAATCACTTTGAAGCTATTAAATCAACTGCCATACTCGATATTTTTTTGACAAAATTAATGAAAGGTCACGATCGCTGTCAATAACTAGCATTGTCATAGATATCTCTCTTATTCAATTGCAATCGTGTCAACACATGATTTTTATTCAATTCTTGATAATTCAAAGTTTTCAATATTCGAAATTTTAAAGCAAGTGCTGAATGATTTATGTCTAATAGGTTAGAATTGGAAATTAGTGGAATTGAGGCTTTGCATATTGGAATATGAATTAATTTTAATGAAAGTTTTATGCCTGCATAAATCAGGAATAATAATTAAAAATCATTGCTAGGAAGATTGTCAACTGAATAATTAGTATTGAGGTTTGCAGCTATGCGGGTATCACACCTGTATAGTTTGGATTATTTAAAAGACTGTTGCTTGTCCTGGATTTCAGACCAGCTTTAAAATTGAGTTGTCTATCATATTGAGTTAAATTGAGAATATAAGTCTCTATTGGGACTTGAACTCATGTCCTGATAAGATTGAGAGTTACTGATTTGTGTAACTCCTTGGCCATACAGTCCATAGTCTCACACTAGCAGATTCGCCTGCATAAAGCTCAATACTCCAGACTATACAATACCTTGACATCACAAAATGAAAAGCAGTATTAAGCAGTATTAAGCCACTGACTTACTTAATTTCAACATAACTAAGGACTTAAGGGATCGTTCACTTATGACGTCCGAAATTAACGGTCATTTTTCAAAAAAGAACAATGGATTTCTATTGTTCTTTTCTTGCTGACCCCCCTCCCCTTCCCCTTCCCCCTTCCCCTTCATAAGTGAACGGCCCCTAAGCTTCCAAGTTTTGTCATTATTCACCATATTTCCAGGCATAACTTGGTATTTCCAATAGCAAATCATTGCTTGGTTCCAAAATCCTGTCTAAACAAATTTTCAACAAACTTCCAGCACCGGAAAGTGCAAAATTAAACAGCACAACTATTATAACAAACTTGAAAATTGCCGGTGCAACAATGACACTGAAATGTCGATGGCATTGTTGTTATGCTGACACCAGCAGAACAGCAGACACAAGAAATTGTCAGCTTTAACATAAATATTTTGCAAACATTTCCCCAAGGGGAACTAAACAGATGTTGTTGCTTTTTAAATGTCTTCAAATTTTGCAACATTGAATGCCAAGCTGAATATCATCTGGACATAATGATGTATTGATATGTCAGTAATTTATTAAAAATACACCTGAAACGGAACCTGCAAAAAAGATATAAAATAAAACTGTAATTTAATTTATTGCTACAGTTTCAGCTTGTTTTGTCGCTATCACATTGCTTCCTGTTCCAAAAAAAGATCAAGATAACTATCGTAAATTCATCTACGCGTCTAAGCCTTCATAAATTGTGTCTTTTTTTCGCTTCTTGTGTCTCAAGAATAATTTTGTGAATGGTAACAGCAAGTTATTTTCAGGGGGATAACAACTTGGTGGGGAATTTTATGTTTAATTTTTTACAAGCTTTTTTAACATGTCCAGGCTCAGAACTGATATATCAGCAACTCTGAACTTTTTTTGGTTTAAAATGGTAAAAAAAATAGTTAAGAATTGTGGAAATAATTATCCATTAAGTTGTTTTCCCCTGAAAATTAGTTCTTGTACCAAAGTCACGAAAAACCAGATGAATTTGATTTCAAATTTAATTTCAATATTTTCCCACCACGTTATCACCCCCCTGCTAATTTGTTTAATCTATAATTTTTTAAAAATACATTATTTCAGGGTCAAGAACGACTTTTTTTTGTGTGTTTATAAAACAACATACATCCAGTATGTAAATAAACCTTTCGAATGAATGTCGAGCAGCATTATTCATTCATTCATGCATATGCAATTAAACAAAGACTTTTTTTTCGCTTATCAACAATAATATTTATAACTTTTAGTGCCAACTAGCATCAGCATGCGATGATGAATGAATGAATGAGTTATTTATGTCTTATTAAAATAATAAATTAACATGCCTTGAATCTTTTATTTTTTTGGGAAATTTCATGATTACAGCGATGACTAGTTGGGCTACAAATATAATGAAATGTGTGTAAGCATGTGCATCTATTTATCGTTCGTTGCTGTTGTCTTTGTTATATTTATTATTACTTATGCACTTCTTACAATACTTTCTGTCACATTAATGTCATTTCAAGTTATGAATTATTTCAATGATATTCATGAATATGTAAACAATTTTTTATTTTACATACCACCAGCATTCTGGTTCTTCCACACATATGCATGCATGTTGAGTTGAGAAACTGGTTCAATTGAAAGTATAATTGTCCAAGTGATCAAACGTTTGATTTTTAATGTTGTGAGTTTGTGTCGAGAAAATTCAATTTTTTGAGATTTTGATTAGATATTAAGGTAAATGAGAGTTAAAGTCTAGGTAGAAGAGTCAACTTTTCCCCTACCTTACACTATTTAAGATTTGGTCTCGGATTGGATCCATACAACTCAATTGACAATTCGGAGCTAGGTTCCTGAATATCATTGATAGCATTCATAAGGTATTGAGACATCCTGGATCATGCAATGATGCAAAGCTAAGAAGT